TGTTGATTTAATTAAAAGTATATAATTCTGAGATTTATTTAATAGGACTTTCTTCGAGAGCTGTAAAATAGTCTTTCTCAGGCTGCTGTCTCTGTGAGATAGATAGCTTATTGCTCTGATATTCTTTAATGTCTTTTACAAAGGCAGGTGGCCACTTGTCATTTTTGCTTCTGAAAAATAAAAGTATAACTTATTCACATTTTTAGTGCTTTGTTATTGAGAAAATCTTCTTAAATGTTGAATATAGCTGTCTTCTGCATTTTGATCCTTCAAAGCAGTTAATCCGTGGTGTGAACAAATACCATTTATATTGCCTGGGGCTTCAGTCTTGGGTATGACAGCCCACCTGTTTTTCTACAACTTTCAGATCTGTCTTTGCCTTGGTATCCAGGGAGCTAAAGATCATCAGGGAGTCTCTGAAACTTTGAGGCAACATGGATACTTCTGGCACTGATTCAGGCCTCTGAAGTGTGAACTTCTTCCTTTTTTGCTTTGGGAGTGCTGCACTAGCTTTTGGAATACCAGATGCTGACTCATCTAGCTCACTGCGGTTATATTTGAAGCTGGATGGACAAGATGGGAACACCAAACAGATGATTAATGTTTTCCATCTGTGAGCATCACCAGGCAGATGCCGGCACAGGTGCCTTAAGTGATGCACCAGTGTTTGAAGGAAGCAGCACCTGTACACGACGAGCACCAGTTTTTCCTACCTTGTTTATTAAGGGATTTTAAGAAGATGGAAATACATGAAATGTTATGTCCACATAATACTGTCCCACTCTTTCTTTACTAACAGGCATACCAACTTCAAAATTACTGGGGTCTGGGCTTCTCAAGAGTAAAAACCATAATTTTTTTATCACACATTTTCCTCAAAAGTGTACAAAATGAAGCGTTACATTTGCAGTAACCTCGTTGGACTCTTAAAATATTGTGTACAATTAGCTTCATAATATGCAAGTCATTCAGTAATAGCTTCTCCAGTTGTTGGGAGATTATTAAATGACAATATATGAAGTGAATTTTGTTGACTTCTAATATATACCAGGAACATCTCTTTGATTTGTTCATTAATTAAACATTGAGGATCTACCAAGTGGGAGACACTGTTCTAGATGGGGGACAGTGAACAAAACACAAAAATTCCTGCCCTTTAGGAGCTTATATTCTCTAGGGATCCACTTTTTTGCAATGATAATATTTTTGGTCACAGTTAAGCTGATTGGTAGATGCCAGTTTTCTAGATTCCCCCAGTTCCTTTATGTTGCAGGTGGTGCTTTGAAGTTTACTTCAGTGTCACGTAAGCCCAGATTTATTTTAAAAGTTATGTTTCCACAGTCACATAAGTTTAATTATATAAGAAATATCTACAGTCAATTCTTAAAAAGCAATCTTGATTCTTGCTAGTTGTTACAGTCATTAACATGACCAGGTGGGAAGTCTGTTTCAAAAGAGGTGCTTCTCAAAAGTATTTACTCAGATGAGCTATACTCTGAAAGGGTTGTTGATAAATTCTAGAAATAAAGTCCCTTCACAATACATTACTATCTTTAAACTTTATTTTCACTATAGTTTCTTAAATTTACATGACAAAAACACTTCTAGTTTGCCTAATTCTCCATTGCCTAATATATGAAATTCTTTAACGGTTTTTTTATTATTTCCTTTTTTTTGTTTTTTTTCTTTTTTAAGACAGAGTGTCACTCTGTCGCCCTTGGTAGAGTGCAGTGGCGTCATCATGGCTAACTGCAACCTCAAACTCTTGGGCCCAAATGATCTTGCCTTACTTAGCCTCCTGAGTAGCTGGGACTACAGGCACATCACCACGCCAGGCTAATTTTTCTATGTTTAGTAATGAGGGGGTCGGTCTCTTGCTCAGGCTGGTCTTGAACTCCTGACCTCAAGCAATCCTCCTGCCTCGGCCTCCCAGAGTGCCAGTATTACAGACGTGAACCACCGTGTCCGCCCTTGTTTTATCATTTATTTTTTTTAATAAACCCATGTGAATGTATTTAAATTCCATTTAAGTTTGCTAGGTTTTTTTTTCTTTCATGGAGCACTATTTCACTATGGCTGTTTTTTAGTAGGGTGTATGAGTACAAATTATATGTTAAGGCCTCTCTATCAGATGTTTTATATGATTACCCTACTTATAGAGGAGCAGCCAAATTGTGAGGTGGATTAGCTCAGTAATTCCTGGAGTTACCCTAAAACTTTTAGGGCAGAATGGAATGGATTCTTTTCATCTTACAGAAATGTTTAGTGATCTGGAGCAGTCATTTACAAATGCTACTACTTTAGCCTGAAAAGATTAATACAATTTCCAGAAGTACCTCTTTACCCAGAAAGATTTCTTTGCTATATTAAACTAAAGGATATCTTTAAGACTTCAAAGATTCTGTCATGTCTGTGGTCAGCATTTGCTCATGGGACTGCTAAGAGTATAAAAGAAATAATGGTTTTGAGGTATGTTTTGTTTTACAAAACAAAACATTTTTGTAAAAGATTTTCCCTTATTTTAACCAACATACAAAGGGCTAAGTTAAGTATTATAATACTAGATATAAGTATTACATCCAAATAATAGTATTTAGATAGCTGGGAAGATAAACAGATCTAAAGAAACTTGGGAAGGGAGAAAATTAGTTGATAAAAATTACAAATCTAAAACACCTTAAATGTAAGCATTCCCCAGTGTGCTGGGTTTTTTCCTTTTCCCTTCTCTCATTAAGTTAGCATCCATTGTGCTCTTTTCTATTTACAAAATTAATATAAGTCTAATGCAGAAATTTGGGGAAAACACCAGAAAGTGCAAAGAAAATCATCTCATTCCACCGCCTGAAGATAACAGTGTTTAGGTTTTTATGTATGTCCTTTCAGTAGTTTTTTCGTGCATATACGTGCATTTTTCTTCACAAAAATGATATATTATCCATACTATTTTGTAGTCTGTTTCTTCACATTGTAAAGATTTTTCTATTTCAATAAACTTTTATAAAATTATTTTTAATGGCTGCAGAGTATTCCATGTTCGTGTCATAATTTATGCAATTCCTTTCTATCTGGTATTTGTTTTTCCAATGAATGAGGAACATT